ACGTCTCGAAGAAGTCCGAGGTTGCCTTGCAAAAGCTGGTTTACAGCTGAATACAAAAAATGCACCTTCGCAAGCAAGACGATCAAGGTTCTAGGGCACTTAGTCACCAAAGACGGTATTCGACCGGACCCTGAAAAGCTTGCCGCCGTCCTCGAGTTTTCCCGTCTGTTGCGTCAAAAAGACGTGCGCAGTTTTCTCGGCTTGGCATCCTACTTTCGGCGCTTCATACGCGATTTCGCAAGGCTTGCATCTCCGCTCCATCAACTGCTCGCAAGTAACACAGCATTTGTCTGGTCTGAAGACTGTGAAAAGGCTTTCCTGGCGTTGAAGCAAGCCCTGACATCCGACCCGGTACTATGTCACTTCAATCCAGGTGCATTCACCATTCTTCACACTGACGCCAGTGGTCATGGTCTCGGTGCCGTTCTACTGCAGCGTGACAACACCGCACGCGAACGTGTCATCGCTTTACGCCAGTCGTGCTTTGACTGCTGCCGTGAAAAATTACACAATAACCGAACAAGAGTGCCTTGCTGTTGTATGGGCGGTACGAAAATTTCGTCTATACCTCCACGGTTGCCACTTCACAGTCGTCACCGACCACAACGCATTGTGCTGGCTTTCGTCGCTAAAGAACTTATCGGGCCGTCTTGGCTGCTGGGTGCTTCGTTTACCAGAGCACAACTTTGATGTCGTCTACAGGTCTGGTAAGAAGCACCAAGATGCTGATGCTCTCTCTCGCTGCCCTCTACCCAACCGTGATAGCCCACCGTTACCAATTTTCACCGCGGCATTACCCATCGCGGGTCTCAGTTGGCTAAGATCCGGCCGCCCATCTACCCTTGTGTCGCATCAACGCGTTGACCCTTACTACCGCTCCATAATAGCACGATTAGAACGCACATCCGCTCCTCTGCATGCCCGACTTCGTCGACAACTGAAACAATTCAAGCTTCACAATGGTGTTTTACATCGCTATATTTACCATGTCGAAGGAAACAAATGGGTTCCCGTTATACCGTCGTTGTCTACAACGTCAGGTTCTTGAAACATTCCATGATGATCCTGCTCCTGGACATCTCGGCTATCACAAAACGTACGACAAAATACGCAGTCGGTTTACCTGGCCTGGCCTCTCATCTGCCATTGCCAAATATGTTTCTTCGTGTGCCTTATGTCAACGGCGGAAATGACCCACTACTGCTCCTTCTGGCTTACTCCAACCTCTTCCTTGTCCCACTTTGCCATTCGAAGTCATCGGGATAGACTTGTACGGCCCCCTTCCCGTGACCTCCAATGGAAATCGTTGGATTAGTGACGGCTGCTTGAACACCTCACTCGTTGCACGCTGGTACAGCCTCGCTGCACGCTGGTACAGCCACTGAAGTAGCTGATTTTTTTCTGTGTAACATATTTTTACGCCACGGAGCTCCACGTGTTCTGCTCAGTGACCTTGGCAAGGCTTTTCTTTCCTCTATTGTTGCTGAGGTCCTACGTGCCGTCAACACCATCCACAAGACAACTTCTACTTATCATCCACAAACAAATGGCTTAACGAACACTTTCATCGTACCCTCTCAGACATGATTGCTATGTACGTCAACCCTGTCACATGAACTGGGACGCCATTTTGCCAGTTCGTAACATTCGGCTACAATACAGCTACGCAATGCACCACCGGCTTTTCTCCCCATTTTCTGGTCATGGCCGCTCTCCAGGTGTAACTCTAGACGTCTCCTTCCTTTCGGCTCCTGCTACCTCAGCAGGACCTTTATCCGCACAATTTTTGTCTTGCCTCGAGCACTGTCGTCATCTGGCCCGAATCAACACCGGCATCTCTCAGAAAGCTCGCAAGTCTCGCTACGACTCAACTCACCGTGCTGTCACCTTTCCTCCAGGAGACAAGTTCTTCTCTGGACTCCCGCTCGTGTGCCCGGCTTATGTGAAAAATTCCTCAGTCGTTTTATAGGACCTTATATGGTGATTGAACAAACGTCCCCCATTAGTTACCGTATCTCACCACTTAACCCTCCCTCCGACCATTGTTGTCATGGGACAAAAATTGTGCACGTTTCTCGACTGAAGCTGTATACCCGATGCAATTCTTGATTGATATGTGGGGTTTAACGTCCCAAAACCACTATATGATTATGAGAGACGCCGTAGTGGAGGGCTCCGGAAATTTTGACCACCTGGGCTTCTTTAACGTGCACGCAAATCTGAGCACATGGGCCTACAACATTTCCGCCTCCATCAGAAATGCAGCCGTCACAGCCGAGATTTGAGCCCGCGACCTGCGGGTCAGCAGCCGAGTACCTTAGCCACTAGACCACCACGGCGGGGCCCAAAGCAATTCTTAATATTGGTCTTTCGCGCGGCCAGGAGGCCGCTTCCAGCGTGACGGGGAATTAGTGTGAGCGTCGTCACCGACTCCTCTTTATCAATTTGACGTGTCATCATTATTTGTATAATTCCTCATCTGTAGATACCATCATCAGTGTGTGCCAGCTCGAGCTCGTCTCGAATAAAGCTCTTCTTCATAATATCTATATTTGCCAGTTTCCAAAGAACACAACTCTTTGGATGCTTCGTGGGACCAAAGGACAAACGTGCAACAGCACAGGTATCACTGCTAAAGCGAGAACAAACACACAGTGCGCCTACATATGCTTCTTGCCTTGGCATCAACCAATCTTGCTCATACAATTTTGCGTGTAATTACTTTATTTCTGTCATTGCAATCAAACTATTACCCATTTCTATAACTATTACATGCATCCAGTTTGAATGAAAGCACAAGAGAGTTCGGGAGGCTTATTTCTTTTTAGACAACAAAAAAAGAAAGAAGCCTAGTGGATGTTATGTGCCGTAATTGGAGCACAAATGCAAATTCAGGCTCATGTTACTTCAACGGGATGTGAAACCGCAATAATCACATAAGTCAACGCAGACACTGCCGTTTACCATTTTTCTGTAGGCATGCACTGTGAAAAAGGCAAAGCTGTATCACAACACATGACTCTGCATCTATGATACACGCTGGAGGGCAACAAAGAAAAATGGAGATAGAAAAGGCTCTCGAAACTCACATGGCACTTGAGGCATGTGTCAGCAATCCATCCATTTCACTGTCTAAAAAAACAGGGGCACTATCTGTGCAAGCAAAAACCAGATATGTGCGGGCAGTACTAATTAGCGGCAGTGAAATTCATCACGAAAAATACTTTGTCTGTGATTTGACACTTGCTTTACATAAAATAACGGTCTTAATTACCTATATCAACTAACTATATTGATTAGTATCTTATATTTCTCACCAATGCACTTGTGTCATATCTTTGGAATTAAACAAAGTATATACTTTTATACGACGTGCCACAAAAATAAGGAAACACAGTTCTTTGGCAATGTTGCATCAACAGTTGCGTGCTCAAGCACCCAGGACCATGTGCGTAAATTACAGTCCTATACATGGAAGACATTTCCAGAATCTTTAAAAGGAAAGCCCTAATGAGCGAGCTCTTTTACCAATATTGATCTGCATGCTCTCAAAAACTGCCCTTTGGGTAAATAAAATGTCAGCCGTATAAACATACCTTCAAATGCGAGTCACCAAAAACATGCAGCCTTTGCAAGCGAACAAATAAACCTGTTTAACACTAGAACACAAGTCCTTGTCTTATACCAAAACCCCATGCTCAAAACACATAACAGGCTAAACATCTCATGAGGTGGGAAAAAACTCCAACTTATAGCAAGCAAGCACATGCATGATTAAGCTTATCGCGTGTTACGCAATGCTGACGGCTTTTTTCAGGAATTCCAGATAATCTATATCTTTGGAAAACTTCATAAGTTGTCGTTCATCCTATTTTTTGCATACACTCACATTGAAGACATGCAAAATTCAAGTCCAGTATAATTTACACGTTTTTCTGGAATTTTTCTGTGCCCAGTGTTGCCCTATCACGTGTTGATTGATTAGCATACTACCCTATTTTTGTCACCAGTTGTACTTTTTGAACATTACTAGCACCACACTCTCTTTCACAGTAAAAGCTGCTAAAGAGAGTTAAACTCGGGTCACGCACAGTTGTCCGCCACCGCCGCCGGTGTCCGTAACCACATTGCGCAAAATTAGAAAAAACCTAGCACCAATGACACAGTGGGGCTCGAACTCAGGTCTGCTGGGCGCCAGCCCAGTATTCTACCACTCAGCTACGCTGGTGCTTGTGAGTTGTTGGCAAACTTGCCTTAGGCAGGTTTGATGTCGGGAAAGCAATCGCATTTATATGACTTATAAAGCATTTTAAAACAGTGAAATAACAACCAGTCATAGCACAATGCAAATAGCGTAACGAGTGGGTCGTCCAATGTTCCAACCCATTACAAAAGCTTGTTTTTGTTCGGCTATAAACCGTGGTGCATACCACTTCAAGCATAACTCCTCACCTGTCGTCAGCCACTGCATGAACAATTGGCACAAAATGCCTTGCAAGTGTTTAGCGGATACCACACCTCTCACAAGAATGACGAAAAATAGCATAGCGAATGCTGGCCAACTACCCAAAAGATAATTATTAATGCCCTAGTGGGTATCAAGCAAGTGTGCTTGCAGTAGTTACCCAATGAGTGTTTTAAGAAGGCTCTGCAAGGCAGCTCTTCTGGCTTTCGCTGTGACTGAGCTGCGCCTTCCGCGCAGGCCTGGCGTTTTTTTATTCGCATAACTTTTTTGCTGTTAAATTTCATTATCACTTCTCGATACGCATGCTTTACACCTACTTACGTTTGCAGGAGTACATTTCTTTGTGTTCATGTCTCTAGGCATTTCATAATAACTTTGAAAATGTCTTTTTATCTCTGTAAATATAAAGAGATAACAAAAGAACACAGGAAGCTTGATTCTGTCAACACTCTATAGCATTCTTGTGTATGCCAATTTACACTCCTGTATTCACACTCGATCATCCTAACAGGCCTAGTTCAAGCAAAAACACAGATACAAATTTCAATTATGTTTATTTGTACGATAAACTTATACAAAGAATTATAAAGGAGAGTCTGGTTACATACAGCAGACTAACAAATGGTCATTGGTCATTTCACAGAAAAAGTAACTAAATTTATGTATGCTAGATGTGCTGAGCAATACTAAACAAAACTCTGCGGTCCACATTCAATGCGAGCCTAACATTCAACTTCTTCGCTCGTGTTGAAAGTAACCACGACAGAAGCCACTGAAAGCAACATACTAAAGAAAACTCAAACAGCGAGGAATTCCAAAACCTTCCCAGCAAGTGGAAATCAACAGCAACGACAGAACTTCAATCAACTAAAGCTCACGAAAAAACGGCTGCATTCCCCTGATCTTTAGGGCACCTTGTTTGCATGACGGTGGGACCTGTTGCAGATTGAATGCTCTCAGGATGAAAAGTACAGACTGCAGTTGCCACAGATAAAGGGGTGTTACCCAGTATGGGTGTGCATGTAATCTTTGGGGCTCTTCCTTCAAACAGGATGGATTGCAATAGAAACAGGAAGAAATATGCTCTTTTGTTGAATCTGTGTAAACTTATTAACATCAGTAACATAAAGATATGTAACCACTATTCATGTAAACAAACACTGTTGCTTTTTGCACCTCCAGCTCATCTACAGAACTTCTCCTCGAAGACTGGCTCATTCCGGTGTTATGGGCAGACCCTGACATTAGCGGACTCTGCTTATAACTCTCTTTTTAACATTTGATTGCTTCCAGAAATTGGTGCCATTCGACAGAGTGACTTGAAGATTGATGCCACTTTCCTAGCCTCAACTAACAGTTACACTATTACCTGAACAAACCCTGCCATCCAATTCCACCCACCCCTCTTCAAAGAAAGCCTGTAGGTCCCTTACTTTTATAGCAGCGCTGTTACCTTGAAAAGAATGTGCTGCAATGAATATCAGAAATGTGGAAAAAGAACATTTTGCAAGAAACTCTAATTTTCTGGCATCTAAAACTCATTTCATTTCCAAGGACATTACATTGCCTTATCAAGCCGTAGACTATTAAACCTCCACTGTCCCCACACACACGAAAAAAAAATATATGCCACTCACAATTAAGTCATCTTCTTTTCATGGCAATGAAGCATGTGATCTCCGAGTTCCTTTTTCCGGGTAAAGGATTCAGGGCACAAGACACAGGAAAACGGTCGCTCTTTGGAATGAACTGCCATGTGCCGAGCTAGCGTGGCTTGGCGACGAAAGAATGCACTGCATTGGTCACAAGAAAAACGATGCTCTCCTGAGTGGGTGCGCATGTGCCTAACAAGATGCGACCTCTGCGAAAACGACGCGTGGCATTGGTCACACGAAAAGGGACGCTCCCCCGTATGAGTGCGCATGTGGGTCTTGAAGGCCGTTTTAAACGAAAAGGTTGCATTGCATTGCTGACAGGAATAGGGACGTTCTCCAGTGTGGGTGCGCATGTGGGTCTTGAGGGTGCTATTGAGTGAAAAGGATGCATCGCAGTGAATACAGGAATAGGGACGTTCTCCTGTGTGGGTGCGCATGTGGGCCTTGAGGGTGGTATTGACTGAAAAGGATGCATCGCAGTGAATACAGGAATAGGGACGTTCTCCTGTGTGGGTGCGCATGTGGGCCTTGAGGGTGCTATTGAGTGAAAAGGATGCATCGCAGTGAATACAGGAATAGGGACGTTCTCCTGTGTGGGTGCGCAAGTGGGTCTTGAGGGCTTCTCTGAACGAAAAGGAGGCATCGCAGTGAATACAGGAATAGGGACGTTCTCCTGTGTGGGTGCGCATGTGGGCCTTGAGGGTGCTATTGAGTGAAAAGGATGCATCGCAGTGAATACAGGAATAGGGACGTTCTCCTGTGTGGGTGCGCATGTGGGCCTTGAGGGTGCTATTGAGTGAAAAGGATGCATCGCAGTGAATACAGGAATAGGGGCGTTCTCCAGTGTGGGTGCGCAAATGAGCCACGAGCTTGCTGTTTCGAGTGAATGCAGCTGGACACAAGTGGCACGGGAAGGGCTGCTCGCCCGTGTGGGTGCGAAGATGTCTCTTGAGATCCGATTTTTTTTTGGTCACATAGCTGCACTGTGAGCAGAAATGCACTTTCACTTGTACTGACGAGCATGAAGGGGAGTGCTCCAGGGATGCCTCCAATGAATAGGTATCTGCAAAGTTATAGAAAGCAGAGGAAGGCAACGCTTATCAAATATCGCAGACTATTCAGCACTGGACAATTCAACTTCATATGACTATTTAACTAGATGGAAAGACCTACAGGCCATTGAGAAATACGATCTACTTAAATTGTGATACTCGTGGCCTACTCATAGCCTACCCTTCGTTACAATGAGCCAACCTAAAAATGTTTTTGAAATAGTAAAGGTGCATCAACCATGTGTCTCTTACTTCTTTCCACATCTCGGCACATAAATACTTCAAACACATGACACACTACACCTGCTGCTAGCTCATTTAAAATTTGATTTATAAGCTACACAAACAGCGAAATAATTTTTCCTTGTGTGCAACTGTGATAAGCATGGACCATTGAACTAAACGGCAGTTTTCTTGTATAGAAGAATCAGTGCAATGGAGGGCACCAAAAGCATCACTTCATATTTCAACAAAACAGGCATAAGGGAAAAAGTGTGAGAGGAGAAAGGGAATATGAAATGAACTGCAATATACAAAACAAGAACAAAGCACTATTAATGAAAGAAATATCAGTTTTCCGTGGAAATGAAAATCATTAGGCTCCATTCACTTCACCTCAGTTGCTATACTCTCTTCACTTCAGTTGACATCTAGTGTATGCCACGATTTTCGTCACTCTGCACGTTGTTGATGCTGTTACTGATGATAATTATTTATGCTTGAGCATATTGGGTGTTCCCTTAAAGCAAGTGTATACCTAAACTGCCCACTTATTTATTATTCACATGCTGCGTTGCTCGCAGCAACTTTACACATTCGCCATGCAATATTGCAAGTGCTATGCGACTCCTCGCATTATGTAACAGCTGCACGACTTCTCCTTTCTGAAGTTGTTCTAAGCCCTGGCGAAGCCAATGCAAGCATTGAAATTCAGATGAAAAAAGCTATTGAACACTATTTCATTAAAATAATGCTAACTTTTGAACCAGCTAATGTATCAGTCACTTATACGGATATGAATGTGTCAATACTCTACACTATTGCAACATAAAACTCACTATCCTGCATAGCCATATGTGAAAGCCACACTTGTAAGGCTGTACTCAGAAACCTAAATTATTGATTTACTTTTCACTGCACAATGTGCCGATTAACTTGAAATGGTACATGCATTTTAGGCATCACAGTTTTCATGTCATGGCATATCACGTGCACCTATTTGTACGGAAAATCAGTAAAAACATCAAAAAAATTTGGCTGTAATAAAATATTTGAAATGTTCACAGTATCAAGGTAAAGTGCCACTACCAAGTGTTGCAGTAACTAGTCTACAAGACTTTTTCTTTAGGTTCCACCTGCACACATATTTGAGCTTTCACACAGATACAATATCATTCTTTGCAAACTACTTAGCCTAAATCAATGCTTTGCAAGCACAGGTAAAATTTATGCACAAAATTGTAAATAAACCCACTCCTCTCTTAAAATGTTCAATAGACCAAAAAAGCAGAAAAGGAACGTCCAATTTCACAACACTCAAGAACATCGGTCCAATGATGCAAGCAATATTTGCTGCTATAGCATCACAAATGCTGAAGTGACACCCAAAACTGAAAATCAACTTCTAAATAAAGAAAGGTGTCAATATCTATATTTGCCAATTTCCAAAGAACACAACTCCTTGGATGCTTCGTGGGACCAAAGGACCAACCTGCAACAGCACAGGTATCACTGTTAAAGCGAGAACAAACACACAGTGCACCTACATATGCTTATTGCCTTGGCATCAACCAATCTTGCATATACGATTTTGCGTGTAATTACTTTATTTCTGTCATTAGAATCAAACTATTGCTCATTTCTATAACTAGTTACATGCATCGTTTGAACGAATGCACGAAAGGGTACGAGAGGCTTATTTCTTTTTAGAGAAAAAAAAAAAGCTTAGCAGATGTTATGTATAGTAAGTGGAGCACAAATGGAAATTCAGGTTCATGTTACTTCAACGGGATGTGAAACTACAATAATCACATAACTCAATGCAGACACTAGCGTTTACCATTTTTCAGTGAGCACGCAATGTGAAAAAGGCAAAGCTTGTATCCCAGCCAATGACTATGCTTCTGTGATACATGCTGGAGGACAACAAAGAAAAATGGAGATGGAAAAGGCTCTTTCAACTCAAAGGGCAGTTGAGGCACGCGTCATCAATGCATCTATTTGACTGTCTAAAAAAAACAGGGTGCAAGCAGAAACCAGATATGTGCGGGCAGTACATATTAGCGGCAGTGAAAGTCATCACGAAAAATACTTTGTCAGTGATTTGGCAGTTGCTTTACAAGAAATAATGTCTTAATTGACTATATCAACAAACTCTATTAATTGGTATCTTATAATTCCCGTCTATCCACATGTGCCATATCTTTGGCATCAAGCAGAGTATATACTTTTATACGACGTGCTACAAAAATAAGGAATCACGGTTCTTTGGCAACGTTGCAACAACCATTGCTTGCTCAAGCACCCAGGACCATGTGTGTAAATTACAGTCCTATGCATGGAAGACATTTTCAGAGTCTTTAAAAGGAAAGCCCTAATGAGCGAGCTCTTTTACCAGTATTGATCTGCATGCTCTCAAAAACTGCTTGTTGGCATAAGAGAAAAAGTGCGAGAGGAGAAAGTGAATATGAAATGAACTGCAAAATACAAAACAAGAACAAAGCACTACCAATGAAAGAAATATTAGTTTTCCGTGGAAATGAAAATCATTAGGCCCCATTCACTTCACCTCAGTTGCTATACTCTCTTCGCTTCAGTTGACATCTAGTGTATGCCACGACTTCCGTTGCTCTGCACGTTGTTGATGCTGTTACTGATGATAATTATTTATGCTTGAGCATATTGGGTGTTCCCTTAAAGCAAGTATATACCTAAACTGCCCACTTATTTATTATTCACATTCTGCGTTGCTCGCAGCAACTTTACACATTCGCCATGCAATATTGCAAGTGCTATGCGACTCCTCGCATTATGTAACAGCTGCACGACTTCTCCTTTCTGAAGTTGTTCTAAGCCCTGGCGAAGCCAATGCAAGCATTGAAATTCAGATGAAAAAAGCTATTCAACACTATTTTATTAAAATAATGCTAACTTTTGAACCAGCTTGCAAATTACTTTTGCTAACTGCTAACTTTTGAACCAGCTTGCAAATATTATTGCAAAATAAAACTGACTATCCTGCATAGCCATATGTGAAAGCCACACTTGTAAGGCTGTACTCAGAAACCTAAATTATTGATTTACTTTTCACTGCACAATGTGCCGATTAATTTGAAATAGTACATGCATTTTAGGCATCACAGTCTTCATGTCATGGCATATCACGTGCACCTATTTGTATGGAAAATCAGTAAAAACATCAAGAAAATTTAGCTGTAATAAAATATTTGAAATGTTCACAGTATCAAGGTAAAGTGCCACTACCAAGTGTTGCAGTAACTAGTCTACAAGACTTTTTCTTTAGGTTCGACCTGCACACATATTTGAGCTTTCACACAGATACAATATCATTCTTTGCAAACTACTTAGCCTAAATCAATGCTTTGCAAGCACAGGTAAAATTTATGCACAAAATTGTAAATAAACCCGCTCCTCTCTTAAAATGTTCAATAGACCAAAAAAGCAGAAAAGGAACGTCCAATTTCACAACACTCAAGAACATCGGTCTAATGGTGCAAGCAATATTTGCTGCTATATCATCACTAATGCTGAAGTGACACCCAAAACTGAAAATCAACTTCTAAAAAAAGAAAGGTGTCAATATCTATATTTGCCAATTTCCAAAGAACACAACTCCTTGGATGCTTCGTGGGACCAAAGGACCAACCTGCAACAGCACAGGTATCACTGTTAAAGCGAGAACAAACACACAGTGCACCTACATATGCTTATTGCCTTGGCATCAACCAATCTTTCACATACGATTTTGCGTGTAATTACTTTATTTCTGTCATTAGAATCAAACTATTGCTCATTTCTATAACTAGTTACATGCATCGTTTGAACGAATGCACGAAAGGGTACGAGAGGCTTATTTCTTTTTAGAGAAAAAAAAAAAAGCTTAGCAGATGTTATGTATAGTAAGTGGAGCACAAATGGAAATTCAGGTTCATGTTACTTCAACGGGATGTGAAACTACAATAATCACATAACTCAATGCAGACACTAGCGTTTACCATTTTTCAGTGGGCACGCAATGTGAAAAAGGCAAACCTTGTATCCCAGCCCATGACTCTGCCTCTGTGATACACACTGGAGGACAACAAAGAAAAATTGAGATAGAAAAGGCTCTCGCAACTCAAAGGGCAGTTGAGGCATGTGTCAGCAATGCTTCTATTTCACTGTCTAAAAAAGGAAGCGGACTTTCTGTGCAAGCATAAACCAGACATGTGTAGTCCATATAAGCGGCAGTGAAATCCATCACGAAAAATACTTCGTCCGTGATGTGGCGCTTGCTTTGTATAAAATAACATCTCAATTAACTATATCAACTAGTATCTTATATTCCCATCTACGTACTTCTACCATTTCTTCTACATTAAACAGAGTATATACTTCTATATGGCATGCAACAAAAATAACGATTCACGGTTCTTTGGCAACGTTGCATCAACAATTGGATGCTCAAGAACCCAGGACCATGTGTGTTAATAACAGAGTTATTAACACACATGGAGTCCTATGCATGGAAGACATTTCCAGAATCTATAAAAGGAAAGCCCTAATGAGGTAGCTCTTTTCCCAATATTGATCTGCATGCTCTCCAAAACTGCCCCCTGGGTCAATTAAAAAGCAGCAGTATAAACACACCTGCTAATGCAAGTTACCAAAAACATGAAGCCTTTGCAAGCAAATAAAAAAAACTGTTTTAACAGTAGGACATGAACCCTCGTCTTGTACCATCGCTTCATGCTCAAATCACATCCCAGGCTAAGCATGTCATGATGGGGAAAAAAAAAAACTAACTTCTGGCACACAAGCAGATGCAAGAATAAGCTTGCTGTGAGTTACACAATGATGACTTTCTTTGGTAACTTCAGAGCATCTGTATCTTCGGGAAAACTTCATAAGTTGTGTCTTAATTTTTGCATACGCTCACCTCGAAAACATATAAAAAATTCTAGTCCAGCAATTTTCACGTTTCCTTGCATTTTTTGGTGCCCTATTACGTGTGTATTGGTCAGTAATACTACCCAATCTCCGTCACCAGTCGTCCTTTTTGAACATTAGTGGATCACACTTCCCTTTTTTTTTCATAACTTTCCTGCTCCTAAATCTCATTATGACTTTTCAATACAAGTGCTTTATACATGTTTATGTTGGCATGAATACATTTCTTTGTGTTTGGGTTTTTAGGCATCACAAAAGCACTCTGAAAACGTCGATTTATGTTAGTAAATCTAAAGAGATAACAATAGAACACAGGTTTAGTTCTGTAATTATTTTATTGCGTTCTTTGGTATCCCTATTTACACTCCTGTATTATCACACGATGATCCTTACAAGCGTAGTTCAAGCAAATGCACACATACAAATTTCACTTCTTAGATTCATTGGGATGATAAACTTACACAATGAATAAAGGAGTATGGTTACATACAGCCCACTAAAAAATGGTCCCTGATTATTTTGCAGAGAAAGTAATCACCTTATGTACCCTTGATGTGCCAAACAATACTAAACAAAACTATGCAGTCCACATTCATTGCAAGCATAACGTTCAACATCTTCGCTTGTGTTGAAAGTAACCACGACAGATGCCACTGCAACAAAAACGGTAAAGGAAACGCAAAAGGCAAAGGATTTCAAAACCTTATCAGCAAGTGGAAATCAACAGCAACGACAGAACATCAATCAACAAAACCCACAAAAAAATATCTACATGCCTCTGATCTTTAGGGCACCTTGTCTGCATGACGGTGGGACTCGGTGCAAATTGAAAGCGGTCAGGGCGAAAATTACGAACTGCAGTTGCCACAGATTAAGGGGCATTACCCGGTGTGGGTGTGCATGTGATCTTTGAGGCCTGTGGTAAGAGAGTATTTCCCACAACCAAAAGAGACGATCGGAAAAGGCGACAACAGTGTGCGCAAGAGAGACGCTCGCGAAACTTCCGAGCTGGCGAACGTCGGCTCGCTGAAAGAACGTGGCCAGCCAGCCAGAGCGCTGGACATTCGGTCTAAGAGTTTACAGCTAGTGATCGAGCTGGTGTGACCAGACCAGTCTGAACAAGCTTGGCGTCTCCTGGAACGTGATGAGCAAGTGTCCTGACCGGGCGTAGCAGTACTGCTCCTGCAGTGAGCGAGCAAGCTTCCGAACGAGCAGCTGTTTTTGTTCAAACAGCGGGGATCGTGGTCTCGGCGCCACGTCCAAGCGGTTCCGGCACAACAAGGGAAAATCGTGGTTGTGGTGCCACGTACGAGCAGGTGCCACGCCCAAGCTGTTCGGGCACAACAAGGGGAAATCGTGGTCATGGAGCCTCGTACGAGCGGGTCCATCACCGCCCAGAGCCGAAGGCGTGGCTTCGGCGCCACGGCGGACTCACGTGACCTGCGTGTTCGGAAACGAGCAGTTCGAAGTCTGCTCGACGATGTCATCGTGCAGACTGGTACTACTCGGGACCCTACTGCTTCATGCATCTGTCATCAACCTCCTGCTACCTTGAGTGACGTCCAACGAACAATTATTTCGGTAGGGACCGACTGTTGCGCTTGTGTAGGCTAGGAGACTAGGGTTAGGATCTACGTGATATTTGTCATGTTCGGGCAATCAGAATGTTTGTGACTGTATCCAGTTGATAAATGTTTCGTGTCCGTGTCTTGGTTGTTCGTGTCTCAGGGCTCCAAACCACCACATTTGGCGAGCCTCTGCCAGGATGGCACATTAACGTTATGGTCATTACTCAGATGCGGGGCTGAGGCATGGACAGGGAAAGATTTTTTGGACTGGGCCGTGAACTAGTACTTGAGAAGGATGAACTTAAAGAATGGGTGGACAGAGAATGTGCAATTGCACATGATGAACGTGCTAAGGAACGCGAGTTCGGAAGAGAAAGCGCTGAGCGGTAACGCCTACTTCAGGAACTAGAACTGAAGATACTGGAGCTGAGGCTGCGACTTCAGGAGAGCAAGGAAGGATAGACTGCTGGGGCTAGAGCACCATGGGGACCTACCTCGAGCACTACAAGTGCACCATAAGTGTGTAGCCCTCGTAAATTGATACCGCCCTTTGACGAAACGCGTGACAACCTTAAAAGCTACCTAGAGCGGTTTCAGCAGGTCGCAACGTGTCAAGGATGGCCCTGTAAGAAGTGGGCGTTGTCATTGACTTTATGCATGACTGGAGAGGCGCCGTGATAGGCCGGTTGGATCAGAGAGCTGCGATGGATTATGACCAGTTAAAAACGGCGCTACTGCAGCGGTTTCGATACACTGCAGAAGGCTATCGGGAGAAATTTCGCAAGGGGAAACCCGAAGATAATGAGTCCGGCCTGCAGTATGCGGTGAGACTCTCCGGTTATTTTGAGCATTGGCTCGAAATGAGCGAGCAGAAAGAAGTTATTCTGGCTTGAGAGAAGTGATCATATGTGAACAGTTCATGAAAGGCTGTTCCCTAGCACTAAGAATTTTTCTTAAAGAAAGAAAATGCGAGACACTGAGCACAATATGTGAGACCGCAGACACCTTTATGGAAGCGCAGGCGCTTCCGAACTTGAATACGAAACGAGCTCGGACGGAAACAGGGTTGCCTGAGCATGCAAAGAAGACACGTCAAGCGAAAGACGTTTGCTTTCTGTGTGATAAAAAAAAACGACACAGGGCGGCAGAATGCTGGTTGCGAACGAAAGCATCTTTTCTTGTGCATGGTCAAAACAATGGCAAGTATTCTACTGGTAGAGGGGAGAAATGCGAAGCATCTTGCATTGTAACAGGAAAAAGAAATGATGCGAAGTCCAAAGAAACAGTAGAGTACGTTACTCAGAAAGATGGAGAAAAAATACCCGTTGTCAACACTGCAGTCAGCCAAAGTTCTTCATTGGCAACACTGGGAACATGCCTTTGGTGAAAGGGTTTATGAATAGACTCCCTGTTAGCGTACTCCGTGACACTGGCTGCGATGGGGTTGTTGTTCGAGAGGCAGTAGTGCCAAAAGAAAAATTGACTGAAAAGTATCGGCAGGCACTCTTCCTCGGCCGTACAGTGCAATACCTACCAGAAGTGGTGATCTTTTTAGACACGCCAATTTTTAGAAGAGAAGTGCGTGCTCACTGCCTGCGAGACTTAGTTTATGATGTGGTCTTGGGAAATATCAAAGGAGTCATATCACTGGATGCCACAACAGTGAGAGGAAACCAGCCCATTAAACCAATTGGCACAACGGTACATCCTTCTGGACCTGCAGAACGATCGACAGCACCATGGCCAAATTCACGACCAGATTTGCCGCATTTTAGAGGTACACATATCTCTCAAGATGAGGCATGGTTGCTTTCGAACACGATGACCAGAGTACCACCGCGTCGACGACCTAGGCAAAACTACAACTTTGAGAGACACAATACCGGCGGCTTCATTGAATCTCATGCGGGGCTTCTTAAGCTCCACTGCGATGACATGGACAGCGTGGGTGTACTGATGCATCAGGTGCCATCGTAACCTCAGCCATCGTTTCAACCACCACGTTTCCCGAGTCGCTTTCAATGCCGCAGGACACGGACGTACAAGCGACGTGCCCAAAGAAGCCCTAACTGACGACAACTACCTCGAACATGGTGTGGTGTTGTCACTCCGCAAAACACCGAGTGACAACGAGGCACCTGTGTTATCAGTGCGTGGTGTGTGCTGCGTATGGACTTGTGTTTAATCACCAGAGCCGTCAGTGTGTGCGTGCCTCGCTGTGACGTATACGCGGCATGCGAGTGTGTGAGACTGTATGTGCCACCGCCGACCAAAATGTGAAATGAGTGTTCGTGTTCAAGTCTTGAACAAAGTGCATAGCCAATGTGGTCTACAGTAGTGTGCAGTGACAGGATGCTTCCACTATTAGTAGTCTTTACATTTGCTCGCGCCCTGTCTTTCTTATTAGTGTGTTTCGTTGTTTTGCATCTAGTTTATTGCTATCCGCAGCACAACGTACTGGAAGTTGGGGGAGTGTGGTAAGAGTATTTCTCACAACCAAAAAAGCCGATCGGAGAAAAAGACGACGGTGTACACGAGAGAGACGCTCACGAAACTCACGGGGCTGGTGAACGTCGCCGGGCTGAAAGAACGTGGCCAGCCAGCCAGAGCTCCGCACGTTCTGTCCGAGAGTCTACCGCTAGGGATCGAGCTGGTACGACCAGACTAGTCAGAACGAGCTTGGCATCTCCTGAGGACGAGTGGATGTCCCAACCGGGCGTAGCAGTACTGCTCCTGCAGTGAGCGAGCGAGCTTCCGGACGAGCAGCTGTTTCCGTTCAAACAGCGGGTGCCACGTCCAAGCGGTTCTGGAACAACCGGGGGAAATCGTGGTCATAGTGCTACGTACGAGCGGGTCCTTCACCGCCCAGAGCTGAAGTCGTGGCCTCGGCACCATGTTGGACACATTGTGGCCTGCGTGTTAGGGAAACGAGCAGTTCCAGGTCTGCTCGTGTGTCGCCGCACGACGTCATCGTGCACTGCGGTACTACTCGGGATCCTACCGCTTTGTGCATCTGTCGTCAGCCTCCTGCTACTGTGAGTGACGTTCGACGAACAATTATTTCGGGACGCACCGATTGTCGCAGTTGTGTAGGCTAGGAGCGTAGGGTTAGGACCTATGTGATATTTGTCATGTTCGGCCAATCGGAACGTTTGCGACTGTATCTAGTTGATAAATGTTTGATGTCCGTGTCTTGGTTGTTCGTGCCTGAGGGCCCCGAACTACCACAAGGCCCTTCTTTCAAACAGGATGGGCAGCCATAAAAACAGAAAAAGGGAAGGTCTTTTGTTGGGTCCATGTAAACTTGCTACCATCAGATAAAAGAGACACTACCATTATTCATGTAAACAAACACTGTTGTTGTTATCACCTCCTGCTCCTCTACACAACTTCTCTCCGAGACCTAGCTGGTTCTAATCTTTATGGGCAGACCCTGAACACATTAGAGGCCCTCTTCTTCAAAATCCCTCTAACGATGCCCCATCACTTCTAACAATTAGTGCCATTTTAGAGTGTGACTTGAAGAATAATGCCCTTTTTTAAAACTGAATAATAGTTCAATTATTACCTGAACAAACTCTCCACTCACATTCCATCTACGCCTCTTAAAAGAAAGCCTTTAGTTCCCTCACTTTTATGGTAGCACTGTTACCTTGAACAGGATGCATAGCAATGGATATCAGAAATGCAGAAAATTAACATTTTGCAAGAAACTCAAATTCTCGAGCATCTAAAAACTACTTAATGCCCTTAGTAAGTTACATTACCACAATGAATTGTGATAAAACTGCAATTTTCCTCACAAGAAAAACGTATGCCACTGAAATTCAAGTCATCTTATTTTCATGGCAACGAAGCATGTGATCTCTGAGCTTGTTTTTCCGCGTAAATGATGCAGGGCACAAGACACAGGAGAACGGCCGCTCTTCGGAATGCATTGTCATGTGCTGAGCGAGTGTGGTTTTATGACGAAAGGATGCACTGCATTGGTCACAAGAAAAGGGACGCTCTTCTGAGTGGGTGCGCATGTGGTTAACAAGATGTGGCCTCTGCGAAAACGACGCATGGCATTGGTCACATGAAAAGGGACGCTCCCCCGTATGAGTGCGCATGTGACTTTTGAGGGACCCACTGAGTATAAAGGATGCATTGCATTGATCACAGGAATAGGGACGCTCTCCTGTGTGAGTGCGCATGTGGGTCTTGAGGGCCCCGCTGACTGAAAAGGATGCATTGCAGTGAATACAAGAATAGGGACGTTCTCCAGTGTGGGTGCGCAAATGAGTCACCAGCTTGCAGTTCTCAGGAAATGCAGCTGGACACAAGTGGCACCGGAATGGCTGCTCGCCTGTGTGGGTGCGAAGATGCCTCGTGATATCTGCCTTTTTTTTGGTCATATAGCTGCACTCCGGGCAGGAATGCAGTTTCACTGGCACTGATACCCATGACGGGGAATGGTTCGGAGATGTCTCCAACGATGAGGAATCTGCAACGTCATGGAAAAAAATGGGAAGGCAATGCTTACCAAGTGTCACAGACTATGCAGAAATGGACTATATGACTTCATATGACTATTTCAGGGGTAGAACAGGGTAGATGAGTTTGAGAGCAGTCCTGGGAGCAGACAAAAGTACTTTTTGTTGCATGCATGGAGCAGCCAGAAAGACGTTTCGTGGCAGGCTTGGAACAGCCAGGAGGTCCTTTTCGAGCAAGTTTATAGCAGTAAAAACATTCAAAGAATATGCAGCCCCGTTCAAAGCACTTTTCAAGCAACATTTGTTCAATGCTATGTCTTTTTAAATTGTGCCACTGCCTTATTATTGCAAAAGGAGCTATATGGACACCCTCGATGGGTTTTTGCCGTTGCCGTCAAGTCCAGTACTAAACCCAAATTGATAACATACCCCCCGCACATGGTATGTTCTATCCATGTGCGATAAGTGTGTGCGATAACATCTCCGCCCAGGGAGGCCTGTAGATGAAGCACAATGGAACCCCTCCACCCGCCTTGACAAAACATGAAAAAAAAGGAAGGCGGGGGAGGGGTTGACGCTCGAGCATTGACTGTGAACTTTACTTTGAGGGCGTGGTGGCGATCACTGGCGTGCACGCTAGCTCGGCAGCCATCAGCAGACAGTTCGCATACACTTTTACATGCTGCACTCTCATTGCGAAGAGACTGGGAAAAGTGTTGATCTCTTTGAGGTTGCCATATTCTCGTACGGCAGTGTTTTTTAGTTACGTGAGATCCGATCCCAAACATTTAGCTGCCAGCCCCACTTCGTATAACATGACAATATGCAGCTATCATATTCATTGCTACACTCTTGCAATGCTACTGTGACTTTTTTTAGTTCTTAACAGCCACCTATTTTCTTTTTAACCTGAACACGCAAGCGTGAACCGCCGAGTCGATAAGTGCGAAGCACCGCAACTAAATGAATTAGAATATGCGTATGCGTGCACTTGAGCAGTCATGTGCACCTGTCTTGGCTAGTCTATTCTGGGAACTGGACACCACCCCAGCTTCTTTTGAGCAATGTCGCTGACATTATTTTTCCCCCAAACGCTGCCATGAAGTTATAAAAACAAGTTTTACTGAAAGGGTGATGCAATGAATGCGACAGCAAGTAGGGCTGGAAGTCAACTCTATCAAATTCGATATCACGTAACTCTACAAAACAGCCGAGCCAAGGATGCTCTTCGTACAGTCCCTTCGCATTGAGAGCGTAGCACGTAAAGCGTGCAGAAGGTTCACAAGCCATTCCCGCTGATGCCTGCTTTGAATGTGACTTTAGAATGGAGGTTCACGACTGCTGCTAGAGCGATCACAGCTTTATACCGAAACTACAATCGTTTCGATGAAACAAAAAAGACTACATTTCATCCACGTTTTTGGGCACGACGTTTGATGGTTTTCGCATCTTGCAGCTGAATTCTGGCGCTGTGGTGCAGTACAAAACTGAGAAAGCAAGTTTGGCATAGCAGGGGTAATTCGGCACAGGATGGCGCAGGTAAAGAAGTTTGACGCACAATGGCGCAGCTGTTCCACCCCTGCTATTTAACTATATGGCAAAAGCCAAAGGCCATTAAGAAATATCGTCCATTTAAATTCTGATACTCTTGGCCTACCCACAGATGTTACAATGAGCCTACCTATAAATGTTTCTGAAATAGTAACAGTGCACCGACCTATGCTTCTCACAAGTTTTCACATCACTGCACATAAATACCTCGACACATGCATGATAACACCTGCCACCACCTCATACAAATTTGATTTGGAAGCTATTGAGCTTCGAAAGTTTTCCATCATCTGAGCTGCTGCAATAAGCATAGACCATTTAACAAAACGGCACAGTTTCCTTGCACAGAAGAATCAGTGCAATGGAAGACAGCAAAAGCATCACTTCAAATTTGAACAAACGAGGTGACTTAATATGAAACAAATTGCAAAATACAAACCAAGAAAAAGCATTAGCAATAAAAAAAGAAAATCAATTTTAACTTCACTTCCTCATTTGCTATCCAAGCTTCGCTTCAGTTGTCCCGTCAACCACGCCACGACTTATGTCATAGTACTCCTTGTTGAAGCTGTTACTGATCATAATGATCAATTAATATTGAGCATAATGGTTGCACCCTTGTAATTTGTGTGCACTTGAACTGCCTACTCACTGTGCAATTCACATGCTGTGATACTTCCAACAATTATACACATTTTCCACACAATATTACACATGCCATATAACAAAAGTATAGGATTTTTTTTTTAGACTTTTTTTAAGCTCTGGCATGGCTTTGTGGTAGAACGTCTGCTTGTCCCACAGAAGGCCTGGGTTCGATTGTGGCTCAGATCTATGATTTTCATTCTATTGTTGATTTTCAATGGATGCAATAATGATTGCTAATATTTGTCATGCATTCATTACAACTTTTGGCTAACAATGATGCCAGTGCAGACATTAAAATTTAGATAAAACAAGCTATTTAATGCTATTAAGTTAATGCTAATGGTAACATTTTACTTTTCAACCAGCTAATAAATAAGCCACTTAAATTAATATAAATCTGCAGCCACTCTATTTTATTGCAACACAAACCTCACTACTCTGAACGGAAATCACAGCTATATGTATCAACCAAACTTAGAAAGCCGTATTCAGATGCCTAAATTATTAATGTATATTTACCTACAAAATGTGCTGATTAAATTAGAGTAACACATGCATTTTAGGCATCACAGTATTCATGTCATGGCATATCAAGTGCATCTTGTGGTACGAAAAAACTACGAAAAAATTGATTGACATTATGATGGAAAAGGTATCAGTGAGAAATGGTAACATGTTTCAGAATGTTGCAATTAAGGGCAATTCACAAATGATAGTTTTGGTTGGTAAATAGCATGATAGAAATAAATAGTTTGTGCACAGTAATTTCAATATTGTGTAAATTTGAAAGCACACCAAAAAAGCACAGCACTTCAGAGGGCAAGGTTCGCACAAAGCAATCAGGATCTCCACAAAAAACATAATTCAAAGTAATTGGTAACGTATGTGTGAAATCAATGTGCCACTAAATAGTGTTACAGTAACAAATCAACAAGATTGTTTTTTTAAACTTTACCTCCACAAACATTTTCACTTTCAAAAAGATACATTATTATTGAAACAACAGGCCAATTTGTGTTGATTATAAATAAATCTATTCTCTTAAAATTTTCAAGAGACCAAAACAGCAAGAAGGAAATATATAATTTTCCGAAACTGAAGATCACCAATCTGTCGAGGCTGCAACCAGTAAATACTGTCATATCATCGTCACGATCTTGAGTTCATGACAAATAATACTAACACCAAAAAGAGGAGATTCATTTAAAAAAAAGAAACTGGAACTATTCAATTTGGCGATTTCCAAAGCATACAGCTGTCTGGATGCTTCGTAGGACCAAAGGACCTATCTACAACAGCACAGGTGTAACTGTTAAAGCCAGAACACGCACATACACATTCACTTATACATACTTCTACCTATTGCATAAGCTAGTCTTTCACACATGAAATTACATGTCATCACCTGAAGTTCTCCCTGCCGTTACAACAGAACTATCCATTAATACCGAAACTAAATAAATGTCTCAAATCTGATTGAAAGAAAAAAATGGTACACGGGGCTCGTTTCTTCTTTAGACACAATACAAAGTAAAGCATAGGGGACGTTATGTGTAGTAATCGAGGAACAAATGGAAATTTAGTCACATGTTCCTTCAACGTGATGTAGAACAGCACAAATTATATGAGTGAACGTGGCCATCACTACTATATAATGGAGAGAGCAGACCTAGTGATGTGTCTACTACACTCTGTAATTTCGGCATAGGAGTGCTTGAGTTAGTCAATAAAACTGCCTCATTTTTGCGGATGCGCAGTTACCAAACCTGTTGACACAGCAATGTCAATAAGAGAATAATATGGTGTTTCCTCCAACCACAATATATCAAGACATGCTTTTTGCACTCGCATGAGCGTTCTTGACAAAAGAATATACAGTGAAAGCTTGTCAATTTGAACTTGATTAATTCAAACTTACAGTTAATTTAAACTTGACGCCCTAGTCCAGGCACAGTCGTGTATTTCTATGGGAGAAACTCCCGATAATTCGAACATGTTGGTTTCCACGATGGTCAATTCAAACCGGGAGTTCTCAGTTTTCATTGCTTCATGCGAAAGTCGCCCTAGAGTGATCACAGTATGTTGCAAAGCTAAACCAAATTAAATTGACTACAGTTGCTAAACAACAGAACAACAGCATTTCTTAGCAGACGAGATTTTGGACGCCGCGCTGAAGCTCCAGGACAAAATATTGACGCATGTCTCCATGTGGACGATAACGATGAAGGGGCATTTAGTGGGCACGAAGTAGTGGGCCTCTAGCTTCTCTCGAGGCCGAAGAAGACGATCTTGTGGCTCAGCTGTTGAGGACACGCTGATTTCGTCGTCCCAAGGTGTATCTGTGTTTTATTCGCGTAGTACCGCGACACTGGTGGAGGTGCTGGGCCGCAACCCTGTCTGATGCTCCACATGCCCGCTGGGAGCCGCTCATCGAGTCCAGACGCATTGTCACCTGTAGAAACACCGGTGCATCGCTCCAGTCGACGGTTGTGAGGCCTCGCGCCAGAGCTGACTCACTCGCCGAAACCTGCTAAGCACTGCACACCTCAACCAATGGCCAACGCAAGCCCGCAACAGGTGCCCCAAGGCAGCTTTCTGACGCACCCATCTCAGGTAACCCTCTTTCAACCTCTCGTTCCCGATCGCTTTAGTGGCGGTGCCCACGAAGACGTTCACGACTGGCTTGACCACTACGAGCGTGTTGCCAAGGTAAATCAGTGGTCGGAACAGGAAAAGCTTTCACGCGCCTATTTCTACCTTGACGATGGTGCTCGTACTTGGTATGAGAATAGAGAAGGCAATCTGTCAGCTTGG